GCTCACGTCCTGCTATGCAGAGTTGGGCTTTGAGACTCGCTGCTGGGGGTTCTTTTCTGCAGCATAAAGGTCCTCTGGAGTTCCTGGCAGCATGGGGAGCAGGTGGAGGGGAAGAGCACCAATTTCCCAGACTACTCCATGGGGACCAGAGAGGGAGGAAGAGGACAAACAGAATTTCTAGAAGGAGCAGGAGTGTAAGAGGTAATCAAGAGCAGGCCAAATCCGCCTAACTCCAGGAAAGTCAGTGGAGTTCGGTAAGCGAGGAATACGGCCAGTGTCGCGCAAGACTCTCGTTTCCCTTTACCGAGCTGCTATGCTCCGTCGCCTCGTTAGCTGAGGCAGGCTAGATGGGAGAGGACGCGGCTACCGCTATTAGCCTCCTTTGCGTCACACAGCCACGCAACATCCCGTCAATCTCCCTGCCAAGAGGGCCCCAAACACTGGATGTGGAGATGCTCGTAGCAAGGGCTCGTAGCAGCTGACGGAGCAGCACACTTTTCTGGATCAGCTGTTTGTCCGAACACTCGGGAGACAAACGGGCGGCCTGCGTCCACTATCCAAACGCCTTGCCTGCCTAGCGCCGTAATTGCGGGGGCTTTGAGAAGTGGATCCAAAGGTGGCCAGATTTCGGTGCAGCGCCCATAAATGCCACTTCGCAGCCTCTGCTCAGGTCCTACACTACTTCTGGCCCCACTGCGGTCTCCACCCCACAGGGCTGTGTGGGCACTTTCCCATGGCAACACGGCAGTAAGAGGTCTGCACTTGGACACCTGCCCAGGGTCAGAAGAGGTGTTAACCACCTTCTCTTAAACATGGCTCAGCCTGTGTCTCCAGGGAGTGCTGCTGTTTCACCGCACACCAGCCAGTCGTCGCTCATTTCACGGGACACGGGGATTAACCCCAGCTAGCCCACGCCGTGTGAGCTGGCAAGAATGGATCAGAGCCACGGGCTGTCTCGCCCAGCGTCCTGTCTGACCGGCACCAGCCCCGGATGCTGCAGAGGAAGGTGCAAGAACCCCACAGATGAGGGATAATCTGCCACCCCACATCAAGTCTCATCCTGGCTTATGCACACAACGGTCCTTGTTGGCACTTAGGCCACGATCCTTAAAAGGCACCCAGGCATCTGAAGAGGCACACGGCTGCCTAAATCCACCATTCAGGTACCACTCCTCTGCTGCCTGGGTAACTACCTTTCCTGCTGCCCACCAGCTGGCGGAGCGCCCGCGCACGACAGCGGGGGTACAAGGAAATGCTGGGCAAGACAGCAAGAGGTTTGGCGGCTCGGGCACAGGTGACTTCGGCACCTGAGCCAGCTCAGCCCTTGCTCCAGAAGAGGGTTTGTGGCTGAGGAGCCAGTGCAGAGGAAGGCACCTCTCTCAGACTGGGGGCACCAAGCCAACTCCTCCGGTGCCTAAGCCCCTCTCCTAGTATCCACCCCTGGCTAGCTTACGGAGCTCCCCACCCAGCTAGCCACCTACAAACCCCTCCCCGAGGCTCCCCCTGCCCCTCACTGCCTGCTCTGGGTGGACAGCTGCATTGGGCACCAGGCCCCCTAGGAGTTAGGCTGAATGAAGAACTCTAAATCCCTATAGGACGGGGGTGGGGTGAACCTAAGGCCCAGGGGCCGGATGTGGCCCCCAGCTTGCCTGGATCTGGCCCTCAGGGCTCCCCCCAGCATTGGGGAGCCTGTGCTGGCACTGCAGCCCCTGCCGCCCTCCCTGGGGGCTGGAGCACACAAAATCTACTAGCCTGAGCCTGCCAGGGGCCCATGTCAACGAGGGATCGTTTGTTTGGGGATTTTTTTGTTTGTTTCTCATGTGTGCGTGGCCCCCGACTGATTTTTCTGTGGGTCAGTGGTCCCTGACCCAAAAAAGGTCCCCCAGCCCTGCATGACGACCCGGGCTTTCGCTTTGCAGATTTTCAAGGCCGTAGCATTCCAATTCCCAGTGGCAACAAGGAGAATCCTTTCCTCTCTCCAGCAACGGCAGCGCTACAGACACCGCTTGCTATGTCCAACGCACACCTGCTCCACCCAGATCTCAGCCAAGCCCACCCCTGGGGCCTGCCCGTGTGCTGCAGACCCAAACGCACAGGTGTGGGGCCACCAAAGCACTGTAGTCCCATCCAAGGTGAGGGCTGGACAGCTTCATGAGCCGTATCATCTGTAATGATGCACAGAGAAAAATCAGGTCTCATGCTTCAGGGCACAGCCCGGCCGTCACGAGGAAGGGAAGTCCCCCCTTCATACAACTATGCCCAGCTAGCCAGGAGCGGGATGTTTGCCATCTTCCCCTGAAGCATCAGCTCTTGGCATCTGACTTAATGGACCAGGGGAACCGCAATCGCCTGTGAAGTCCCAACTGAAAGCTTAGGGGCAAAGCCCTAGCTACTGAGGGCCGATAACCCAATGATCATGTGAGCAAAAGTCCTTTCTTTGGTGCCAGCAAACTCACCCAAGAAAGTCAAGGGGGGCACTGGGAAGGAGCCAAACAAGGCAGAGATGAAAAGTTTACGGGCCGAGATGAGAGCTGGGTAAGGGAAGAATCAGAACAAAGGAGGGGAAAACCCTCTGTGGAGCCGTAAGGAATAAACTGCTTTTCAAGGAGGAAGGAGAACCAGGCCAAAGGCTACATTAATAAACCAGGAAGCAAACACGGTTTAATCAGCTGAAAATTGATCCTATCGAATAGCCCGGTGCTGACAGCTGGAACGGTGAAGCGCAGTCCCCTTGCTAACGACAGAGACACATCCTGCTCTCAACTGCAGGCTCAGAGTAACCTGATTCATCTGGATGACGCTCATCCTGATTTAGCTGCCGAAACCCAGAAGAATTTGGCGTGGCTGGGTTAAAATGAGCAGTTTTCCAAGGGACCCCAGAATACTAAGGAAGACTTCTACTGTCCCGGAGTGGGAGGGGCGTGGGGGCACGGAGAAGCCGGGGTGCTATTTTAGGCTGCCACGGAGCAGTCGGGTAACCCAGCACCTCAGAATACAGCACATCTAGGAGGCTGTAACCTGAGGAATTCAACAACACAGAACGAGTCAAGTTAATCCGCTGCATTTAGACTGACGGCCTCCGACGGTGACAGCTGAGGGTCTGCTCTCTTTCACAAACACACGGCACTATTCATCGCTACATGGAGAGCCGTACTCTATCACGGGCGGCTGGGAACAATACACAAGAGGCATTCGTAATCCCCTTAGGGCAAGGAGCAAGGTCACGTTTCTTTGTGTGTGTGAATGGAAACCTGAGCAGCAAACTCCCCCATCTCGCTATCCTAACAGCACGTATGCAGGGCTGCTTTTACCGTCCTAGCAGTAGGCAAGCCACGAACCAGGAATTCGTTCTGCTAACCCACCCACTCACCTTTCTGGAAAACTCTGAAAGTGGGGTGAAACCGTAGGTTTGCTGCCGTCTCAGATGACGACATAAAAAGGTCTCAGAACCAGGCACAAAGTCTCCCTTTTTTTAAAGCAGCGAGAGTTAGCAACTGGCACTAGCTACCGTCGGATCAAGGCTGGATGCTCTTCTGGAGGAGATGCTATAGCCAAACACAAGTCATCGGGCCCAAGACAGGGGTGACTGGGTGAGACTGTGGCCCATGTTAGAGAGCAGATAACTGCACAGTTCCTCAGTGGTGCGACGCAGAAATGGACAGAAGCACTGTGTGCAAAAATGAGCAGGCACGTTCACCAATTCTGGAGCAATTCCCGCTCATGTGAGATAAATTAACAACAGGGCTGTGGAGAATTTCTCTTTAGCAGGCTCTTCGTTGCAAGGATATGCCCTGCAGGCAGCTGTTTAGAGAGGAGACCTCAGTTAGGTTTGTTGTAACAGGGGCTGTGGTGAGCACACAGAGGCCCAGAGACAAAGCATGATTCATTTCTAATTCTCTATGCACCAAGTGTCACTGGAGCCGAGCTCCAGAAGCAGGTTCACTGGAGAGACGGCCCTTGGAGCGATATTCTAGACATGGCCTCTGCGGTGCCGGGCACTCGATTGCTTCCCCAGACTCTTGCCTCCTTGGCACAGTTGTTACACCCGGGATTTACAAGTGGAAGGTCAAAATCTGGTCCAGGCCTCCAAAGTGACAGAAGCTGCTTGGCCAGTCGGGCACAAGGGAGACGACATGGAGGGACCTTTGCCCAGTGCCTGGCCAGCCTATGTGCACTGGACAGACCTCCAGGTCACCTGAGCAGTCCATGGCCGTCTGCCACCAAGGCTGGAAACCAACAACTCAGCAGCCAGAAGGCTCCACTCCTAAAAAGGGCCCCACGCCTGCAACTGACCGACCCAGCCCTTACAAGAAGTCCTGTTGAAGATAGTGGGGCTCCACACAGAGCATGGCTGAACCCATGTGGTGTCAATTTCGGGATCAAGGCCAATATGCATGAAATCTGTGCCATCATTTAACAGCGACGTGCTTCCTAAAAAACTACTCTTCAAAATGAAAGCCATGTCACACACGTCTCTCATTTACAAGGAGAAATTCCCACTTGGTCCACTGCATTCTTCCACCTTCAAATACTCTCATTTCCAACAGATCCGATGCACTTCTTTCCTCCCTACCCCTTCTGCTGTCAGATCGCTCCTGAACTCCACTCCAGAAGTAGCTGCATTTTAGAATCATAGAACACTAGAACTGGAAGGGACCTCGAGAGGTCATCGAGTCCAGTCCCCTGCCCTCATGGCAGGACCCAGTACTGTCTAGATCATCCCCGATAGATGTCTAGCTATCCTGCTCTTAAATATCTCCAGAGATGGAGATTCCACAACCTCTCTAGGCAATTTATTCCAGTGTTTAACCACCCTAACAGTTAGGAAGTTTGCTTCTTGTCCTATCCTCAGAGGCCAAGGAGAACAATTTTTCTCCATCCTCCTTGTGACACCCTTTTAGATACCTAAAAACTGCTATCATGTCCCCTCTCTTCTTCTCCTTTCCAAACTAAACAAGGCCAATTCTTTCAGTCTTCCTTCATAGGTCATGTTCTCTAGACCTTTAATCATTCATGTTGCTCTTCTCTGGACCTTCTCCAATTTCTCCACATCTTTCTTGAAATGTGGTGTCCAGAACTGGACACGATACTCCAACTGAGGCCTAATCAGCGCAGAGTAGAGTGGAAGAATGACTTCTCGTGTCTTGCTCACAACTCGCCCATTAATGCCTCCCAGAATCATGTTTGCTTTTTTTGCAACAGCATCATGTTGTTGACTCATATTTAGCTTGTGGTCCACTATGACCCCTAGATCCCTTTTTGCAGTACTCCTCCCTAAACAGTCGCTTCCCATTCTGTACGTGTGAAATGGATTGTTCCTTCCTAAGCAGTCCCTTCCGCAAATCACATTGGGATGGAAAGCACCATCTAAATGACCATTATCATACACAGAGTCACTATTAAAAACCAAATAAAAGCAGGAAGTTCTATAAAGCAGCTGGGGAAGAGGAAGGAAAGGAATGAGGAGACAGAACCCACAGAAGTTGTGAAGCTACCTACCCAGGCAAAGGCAATACAGGTGTGGTACATGGGAGATGAAGGCGGGACGGATGCTTTGTATCTTGTCAACATCACAAAGTTGGCAAGTCCGTTAAGGAAAGAAGCAAAGGCAGAAGCAGGTTCCTGGAAGAACAGGAAGCGGGAAAAGGGCCACTAGAAAATAAAAGTAAAATGGGAAGGGAAAAAGAGGGACATCGTTAACAAAACAAATTCACATTTCCAGTTCCCTCCTGCCAGGTGTCCGTGGCAGGAATTAAACCTTCCACCCTGATGGAACAGTCAGATTGCAGCTCCAGGTGAAAAAAAAAAAAAGTCAAACACCGTTCTTGGGACAACTCTGAGCTTTGTTTTAAACCTTACCTCCTTCCAGCGGAATTTTCTTCTTCCTCTTTCTAGCCAACTCTTCTCTTGCAGTTTATCAAAACTTTTTTTTTGGGGGGGGTGAGGGGGAGGGAGGCTGTACAAAAATGAGTCTTGTATCTATGCAAGACTAATGTATACATGACAATAATACGTAAACGTGCCCTAAAAAACAGCCCTCTGCCCATGCTAGCTGCCGTATGTGCATACAGGAAGGAAGTCCCTGCCTTGAAAAGGTTACTACCTACACAGACAAGATAGGCAAGAAAGGGAGAGAATTACCGCCTGATTTGCAGAGAGCTACAGCAGAGAGAGAGAGACCAACTTGCCCAAGGTCATACAGGGAATTCTTGGCACTTCCACGCACGTCAAGTGCCTGAACTACGAGACCAATCTGCCTCTATATACATTCCTCAGGATGCCTAATGGAAACAGGATCAGAGCTGAAATCAGAGTGAAGTCAAGCCCAGACGTGCATGCTAATGCCACCAGGTTATCAGGGGCATATGGCACAGAAACGAGGTGGCACAGGGGGTTAAAGGATCTTGTTTAAAATTCTTTTGAGCCTCTATGAAGTTGCCAGTCAGGATCCACACAGATCACAGACAGGCTCCTGGTCGCAGAGATGGGCTAGAGATTCGGGACCTCTCTTGTGCGGATGGATTTTCACTGAGGATGGAAACGATTTTTTTTTGGTTGGTTTGTTTAGAAGCATCATAAAACACGTCTCTGTTGGATGTTCCCAGCAGGCTTCTCAGTGGGAGCCTTCAGCACATATGAAAACAATGAATAATTCAGAATACTTTGCCGCTCACTAGCACCTTCAATGCCAGGCTCTTGGAGAGCTTAGCAAACATTAATGATTTAGCCACATAACCCTCCTGTCGGTGCATATAATTACCCCACTAGTGATTTTGCTTTTTACACAGGAACCTTGGCTCTGAGAGGTTAAGGCTCACGCTCTCTGAGGAAAAGCTCGTGCTGAGGCATTGTGGGCCTGATTTTCAGAGGCTGCAGCGAGCCCAGGGCTTCGAATGGGGTCAAGGGAAGTTGTGACCACCCAGCCCTGCTAAAAACAGGTCATGGGAGTCTCTAGGGGGATTTCTACAATTGCGTAGCTGAAGTCGAAATAGCTTCATTTGGCTTTTGGCTCTGTCTACACAACAGGAAGTAGAAGGAAGAACCCTCTTCCTTCGACTTCCCTTACACCTCGTAAAACGAAGGTTACCAGGAGTCGGAGTAAGAAGTCCTCCAGTTCGACATTATTTTGAAATAAAGGTTTGAAGTGTAGACGCACGCTATGTTATTTCGGAATAACGTCAGTTATTCTGAAATAACGCAGCTGCGTAGATGTACCCTAGAGGAGTACTTACAAAATAATAATAATCAGGGCTTGACAAACGGCGGCGAAATCCACTCACCAGCCCCGCAGCGCATGCGCAAGACCCGCATTGTGCATGCACGCGCCACCTGTGAACAGGGTGACCGGCTGAAATCTACTCACCACAGGCGAGTAGATTCAATGATTTGTCAAGCCCTGATAATAATAATAATAATAATAAAAACCCAGAAAAGCCTTAACTAGAGGGGACTTTTGAAAACCTGGCCATATATTATTTCCCAACATCCGTAACAAGCGGAGGTACAAGTCAAATCTAAGTCTATTGATTCTCAGCCTCACTCACAGCCTATCCTTTCCACAGTGCTAGATACCGCTCACATGTATCTCACCTGTAAGATCCTGTTTCTCATGCAGAGATGAAGAGGCGAAAAACAGAAAGAGGAGAACTTGCAGGAGCTGACTAGTTTCTAAACAATGAGCCTCCTTTCCACTGAGATGGCAGGTTGCTAATGGGACCAAGCAAGCCATCTTCTATGAAGCAAAAAACTTAAAAACTTCATGGCACAGGTTGGGGTGTGGGTGTGTGGGGGGGCATCTTTGAACCAAGTGCCCATAAGCAAGGCACAAGCAGTTCCCCAAAATGACAGGACTTTTTTTTCCACAGGGCTGGTCCAAGAACTAACAGCTGCTAGTTCACCAAACCAGGCAAAGACAGAGGCACTGTATGACTGCAGCACTAGTCATAGGAGTTCTGATTAGGAGCCAAATGGCTCTGGGCCAAAATATTGCTCACCTTGCCATAAAACTGAGGCACTCGGTGACCTTCCTGTTCATAAAGCCCCACTGTAAGCCACATGCATTCATATTTACAGTCATCTTTGCAGGTCCAGCCTGAAAGAGACACAAAGAGGGAGCCACTTGTTAGGAGGTGACAACAGTGCAATGTAGAATTGATTTTAGCCGGTCAGGCTGGGTGGATCAGAGAAGGAGGAAGGCACAGAAATGTAGCTCCATCCATGTGTTTATTGCACAAGTGGGTCTGACCCTCCCTTTGGTAGTGTCAACGTCCAGGATGCTTCCTTCTTTGCACATACATTAAGCGAGGAAATCAACTGACTGACCGCAGTGCTGAAGGCGCCGGCACTAGGGGGCGTTTTCTGATTGCTCTTCTGCTGCATTTGCTGTAAGTTACGCTCACAAATAAGCAAGGGACCGGAGCATATGATCTCCAACAGGCAAAAGTGAGAGTTCTGCATTCAGAGACCTTTCTACTGGCTTGTTTACAAAGCGGAGAAAAACCCATGGCTGGCCAGTGCCGACCACAGTTGGGGCTCAGGCTCTGGGGCCATTTCATTGCTGTGCAGATGTCGGAGTTGCTCTGGGACCCTCGCAGGGTGCTGGAGCCCAGAAATCTATCCAGCAATGAAACAGACCCACAGCTCGAGCCCCACAAGCCCAAGTCAGCTGGCACAGACCAGCCAGGGTTTTCCTTCTGTGTAGGCATGCCCAGAATGGGGACAGTGCAGGCGAGAGCACTGCAAGGCCCTACACCCACATACATCAGTCTGAACAGGAAGAAACCACTTCTCTAGGAAAAGCCTGGCCTCTGCTCACTTAGTCCTCAGTACACCTGCTTAGATCTCCAACAGGGACGTGGGTTGTATGATGTGGACATGCCCTGGGGAGGGATGGCCTGAACCCAGCCCTGGCCTGGCCCTACTGCAGTGGCCCTCCTCTGGTCTGAACCAAGCCCCAACCTGGACCTACTGTGGCATCCCTCCCCCAGCCCAAACCCAGCCCTGGCCTGAACCTGCCAGACGGAGTGAGGGACACCTATCCTGCTGTCCCCGCCCCGGAGCTGCTGCAGTGGGGAGAGGTACATCTCCCCACACCCAGCTCAGGTGCTACGGCAGGGGAAAAAAGCTAGAGGGAGTCCTCTCTCCCCACTATACCATCCTCCTGCACTGCAAACCCCTCATCCCCATCCCCACCCCAAAGCCTACACCCCCTGCCAGAGCCCTCACCCCCAAACCCCAATCTTCTGCCCCAGCCTTGAACCCCTCTCATCCCTGGCTCCCACACCCCAGAGCCCACACCCCCAACCAGAGCTCTCACCCACCCCCGAGCCCAACCCTCTGCCCCCTGAGTTTCTCATCCCCAGCAACACCCTAGAACCTTATACTCTGCCCCAGCCCTGAACTCCCCATACCCGGCTCCCCAGCCCCCAGAGCCCACACCCCAGCCAGAGCCCTCACACTCCTGCACCCCAAGCCCCAGCACTGAGTCCCCTCCCACACTCCAATCCTCTCAGCCCCACCTCCACCACATGAATTTTGTTATTTGCACCAATATGAAGGTGAAGTATACATATTATCTCCATACTGGTGCACATAACAAAATTCATTCCACACAGGATGGGAAAAACTAGAAGGAACGCCTTAAATTCATAACTTGTTGGACTCTAAAAAACATGGACTTAATAAAAGACTGGACTTATGGCTCATTACAACAATCAATAATCCACTAGCCCGCCTCCGTCTTGCTACAGCAGAGGTGTTGAGTGGTCACCTTCAATGGTCTCTTATGACATGTTTACTCCTTATGCTAAGCAATTTGCTTCACTTTATATTTAGTGTGACACTCAAATTACCTTTTCCAGATCTGAAAAGCGCTCTGTGTAAATTTGTCTCGCTCACAAGCAGAAGTCAGTCCAATAAAAGATATTACCTCACTGGTCCTGGCTTGCTTGCTGCACCGTCAGCCTGAATGTCTCCCCACGTCACCTCCATCAAGCTGCCCTGAACCTGTTTCCTTCAAGCTACTGATCAGAAGGCTTGAGGGAAACAGGTTCCAGGCAAGGAAGGGAGAGATCTGGGCTCTGGGGGAACAAGTTCCTGGAAGGGGTGTCTGGGAATGCCAGAGCATGCATGTGCTTCTGCCTGGGGAACTGGGGATGAGGGATTTATGGCATGAGGAGAAGAATCCTGGGGTGGAGGAGGGTTACTGAAGATGCAGATGGCAGGAGTTTTGTGGCTTGGGGGGGCAGAGGGC